ACTCCAGCCTCCCCAGAGCAGTGGCAAGGGAAGAGGCTGGAACTGTGCAGCCTCCCTTGCTCCTGGAGCACCAGGAAGGGAGGGGGCAGCTTGGACCGAGCACGGGGAGGGTGAGCACTCTGGGGCAGCAACACTCTGCCCCCAGTACACCTACAACAGGACTCGGGGCAAAGTGTGTGCACAGCCAGGCTGGCGGTTTGGGAAGATAGAGCCTTCCCCTGTCTAAGCCACTGGATGCCCATTCCTAAAAGGGTGTTACAAGGAAGAAGGAGAAAAATTGTTCTCCTTGGCCTCTGACAATAGGACAAGAAGCAATGGGCTTAAACTGCAGCAAGGGAGGTTTAGGTTGGACATTAGGAAAACTTCCTGCCTGTCAGGGTGGTTAAGCGCTGGAATAAGTTGCCTAGGGAGGTTGTGGAATCTCCATCACTGGAGATATTTAAGAGCAGGGGACTGGACTTGGTGACCTCTCGAGATACAATCCTAGAACACTACAACTGGAAGGGATGATACTGACATGACTATATTGCTACAAAATCACTCCCTGTCCAACACAGTTCTACTGGTGTAACTACAGCAAAGTGCTGGCCGAATGCAGCTCTTGTCGATACAGCTTGTGCTGTGTGTGATTGTGACTTGGGCAGGGTGGGGGGTGGGAACACAAAGTATCCCCAAAATGTTCTGGCCTGTTTGAAACAAAATTGGAAGAACTGAAATTTCATTCACACCCACTCTAGGCACTTGGTGTAAACACCGGTCTGAGTCTGCAGGGCTGAGAAGGCAGCAGAGGGAAAACTAACAGGCCTAGTCCTTCACTTTCTAGGCTTTTACACATGCCCATAGCAGGGGTAAAAGTTCCATGAAGCTGGAGATGGGTCAATGTGCCCTCATAGCCAAGGTGGCTAACATGATATTAGGGTGCATTAGGAGGAGCGTTTCCAGCAGATCTAGAGAAGTGATTATTCCCCTTTATTCAGCACTGGGGAGGCCACATCTGGGCCCCCATTACAGAAAGGATGTCAACACACTGGAGAAGGTCCAGCAGAGTGCAACAAAAATGATTGGGGACTGGAGCACATGACTTACGCGGAGAGGCTGAGGGATTTGGGCTTATTTGGTCTGTAGAGAAGAGTGAGGGAGGATGATAGCAGCCTTCAACTACCTGAAGAGGGTTCCAAAGAGGATGGAGAAAGGCTGTTCTCAATGGTGACAGATGGCAGAACAAGGAGCAATGGTCTCAAGTTGCAGTGGGAGAGGTCTAGGTTGTATATTAGGAAAAACTATTTCACTGGGAGGGTGGTGAAGCACTGGGATGGGTTCCCTAGGGAGGTGGTGGAATCTCCATCCCTAGAGGTTTTTAAGTCCCGGCTTGACAAAGCCCTGGCTGGGATGATTTCGTTGGGATTGGTCCTGCTTTGAGCAAGGGGTTGGACTCGATGACCTCCTGAGGTCTCTTCCAGCTCTATGATTCATTTAATCAGACTGCGCCACTCACACAGTTTTGCCCATGTACAGCTGTTGGTGGCCAGGGATGAAGGTCAGAGGCCCAATGCAAACCCCATGCATAGCCAGACAATGCTGCTATTTGCACCCATGCTGCTTTCCCTGGACTAGGACTGGGCCCTGTGGCACAGGGAGACTGCTCTTGCATTATTGGGCAGCACCACACAGCCAAAGAGGTGACAGCAGATTTGAAGAATGCAAGTCAAGAGGGAAGTGAAAAGGCTGCTGGGTAGGTTAAAGTAACATTAAGCTGTTTTCTCTTATAATGGTTCTGTGCTCACATGCAGATTGCAACAGCATAGCTCCAGGGACATCATTTTGTGCTTAAGCTCTGGGTCAAATGCTCTAGGTTCAATTCCTCACTGTCCCCAACTTCCTTTGTGATTTTAGGGAAGTAATTTTTTACTTGACTTGTGGAGCTTTAGTTCCCCTACAGGTGGGGAAACAGGCACAGGCCACATACAATGACTTGCCCACGGTCACACAGGTCTGCAAGGGGGAAACCTAGGCACAGAATTGACTTCGTAACCACCACTGGGCAGATTTGAAAGTAGGGTCTCTTGAGCTGAGTGTAGGAGCCTTTACAGCTTGAGCTATAAAGCCAGCTGGCTCTCAGTTTAGGCTGTAAAGCTCCCTTGTTCTTATCACTCACTTTAAGTGGTGTAAATGCCACTCCATGAGACAGTGAACCACACTAGGTATGTGGGTTACATTTGCACAAAGTCACACAGGATGTGTGCAGCAGAGGAAGGTTCAGACGCCACATCTTCTGATTATTAATTATAATTATTTGTATTACCATTGTGCCCAGGAACCGTGCTCTTGATCAGGACCTCACAATGCTAAGAGATGTACAAACACTGAAAGAAAAGATGGTCCCCAGAGGCAATGGTAGCCCACTTCCTGCTGGATCTCAGCAGCCTGGGACATGGGCTAAGTAGGGTTGGGGAGAGCACCACAGTCCCGGAGTGGGTGCAGGGTGGGGAAACCACATCTCAGAGGAGACACATGGGGCAGTCACGTTTTCCCCTTTAATTGTGCCCTGCCCGTATAGAGAGGCATGAGTTGTGTACCCAGAGGGCTCAGGAGAGCTTTGAGGAGCTAGTGGAAGGAGGATAAGGAGGTAGTTTTAAGGATGTTTGGGGGGTGCCTCCCAAATACATGCACCAGTGGGAGAAAACATGATGGTGTTTGAAAATTTACCAAGTGGGCAGTGCTGCTGGCAGCATGAGCCTTGTGCTCGAAAACAAAACATCCTGACCTTGAAATCCTGGAAACGTTTGCTAGAAATGACTCAACCCTAGTAAAGAGGTTGGTTGAGGGCAGTTATTTGTTAAAAATAACTCCAGAGTGCATGAGCCCAGATTTGGAAACTAAAGGAAACAGAGAACTTTGGCAAAGGCATTTCATGCAAAGGCTACATGGAGCCATTAATGAGCACAGAAAGTAAGGCTGTGTCTACCCTGCAAAGAAAAGCCGGAAAAAGATATACGCAAATTGCAGCTTGCAATTTGCGTATCTTTTTCCACAAGAGGCTTTTCTGAAATTTGGTACGACTACACGGTGCCAGAGTTCAGAAAAACCTACTTTTTCGGCACATCCCTTCCTCGTACAACGAGGTTTACAGGGATGGTGAAAGAACGCATCCGATTTTCTGATTTTTTTTTTTTTTTCGGAAAAGCGGATGCGTTCCTTGGACGTGGCATAGCTTTTCTGGGATGCAAGAGCTGCAGTGTAGATGTAGCCTCTGTGACTGGAGCCTTTCTGAGCAGCTGATCCCTGGAGGACGAGCTCATTTTTCGTTAAAGCCACCCCACCTATTTGAAAAAAAAAAAAAAAATTCGGTCTCAAAAGGTGTCCATCATAAAAGGTGCGAGATCACTAGGACTGGAAGAAGTTAGCCAATACACCAACCCACACTAATATTGGTTTAGAATGCAAGACACTGCACAAGAGAACTGGGCCTGTGGGCAAGGCGTGGAGGGGAGAGGGCTGGCTCTGTGCCCCTAGAAGGGGAAGGGCCTCAGGTGGACGGGGCGGGGCATTAAAGGGTTAAACATTACATTTAACCAGTTACTGGATTAAGCAGGATCCTACATGCAGGGGGCCACTCCAGCCCAGCTAGAGCAGCCCCCAGCTCGCAAGGCTGCTAGCACGGCAGGGCTGCTGGCTCCAGGCCCTGCTGGCCCCCTTGAGGCTCCCAGCTCCACTGGCTCCTCAGGGCTCCACGGCCCACGGTATGGTGGGGCTGGGGCCGCCCCTCCGCCCC